GTGTGTGTGTGTGTGTGTGTGTGTGTGTGTGTCTGTGCTGTATGCCTTGTCTATGTTCTTAGGAAACCAGATAATTCACTTTAAACAGATTAAACAGAATTATCTCATTCCATTATTTAATTGAAAAAAAGGGTCTTAATACATTGGTTCATGTTATTATCTAAAATCAATTATCAGTTGTAAATCCTGTAAAGATGAATTTGATATAAGCTGAAAGCTCAATGGAACGACAATCTTCTACTTAAAAGATTGATTTTATTAAAGAAATATCCAAAACTTCATTAAATGAACAGAAGACTGCAATTAATACCTAAACCAGTGCTGAGGGCTTTATGGCCTCCACGCTAAAATACATCCCAGGTTATTTCTGGAAAAACACAAGAGCTCCATGGTCGTTTTTAAGGCCTTTGTAAGTGTTAGTTTAAGGGATTGTAACCATTGCCTTGACAAGTTTTTTTCTGTCCAACATTATTTTTTTTTTAATTTAAAGATTGTTTTTCAGACACAAAGAAGGACACAAATGTAAAATAGAAAAACAAAAACATCAGGTTCAAATAAAAAAAAAAAATTGTAACAGCTACTTTATGATAAAATGTTGAAACAAAGTAGAATTCTTAATATGTGATTTATTGTGGAGCTTTATGTCTCTTGATAATGAGATCCATGATAAGAACTGTGAGAAGGAGTTCTAAAAGTTAATATGTTATAAGGTGAGGTTTACTTAGAATACAAATGGTTGAAGCTGTATTCAACAAAAATAACACAAAGTACTAAGCATAACTAACATGCTAATTATATCAGACCAAATAACCAGAGTTAGAGATCACATAAACTGATACTGTTAATGCTGAAATACATGTAAATCTACATATTCATAAAATGATATGCTATTTTCCAAGGATAGCAATACAAAAGCTATACATTCATCTACAAAGCCAGTCGAGTTAAATATATTGTTGGATTGTGGTGAATAGCTGATTGCTTTGATTGGTTGGACATGCAGAGCTTATCATGGTCTAAAAGTTAAGAAGAAAATTACAAAGAGAAACTTTATGAATAGCTGGTACATAACCTGGTATTTATCATGCTTTCATAAAAATATTCAAAGCTTAAAGTTGTCTTCTTGCTTCAGTCCAAGGCAGTAACCTCATAATTTCTGGCACTGTTTTATTCACATTACAATAAGGCTACCAAATGCACACTCGAGTTGGAGAGTTGGGAATAAAACTGATGATTTAGGACCTCCGCTTCAAGCCTGACTGTAAATTATATAGCTGGGAAAATGAAAGGAAGGAGTGTGAATATCTAAAGTGAGGCCAGAATCCCAGAAATTATGCCGCTTGTCAGCTGAACCTCTACATTTTTGTTTTGAAAATAGCCAGTTTCAGATATCCCTGAACAACCATGGCTTCCAATTATGTTCTTCCCACCGCAGAGTAAATCCTGTAAGGGGCCAGTGCACTGAGCTCAATGGAAGAACAATTATCATATTGTCTCAGTCTCCACTGATGTCATGTTTGTACATTTAATGTGTAAATAGTGTAAATAGTCTTCACAGATTATATAAGAAGGTGAAAGGGGATCTGACAATACCTTTAATAAAGATCCCTTGTCTAAATATTTATTCCAGACATTGTAACAACCTATGACCTTGGGAATCAAGCAGCACAACCTTTTCAGAAAATATTAGCCATTACTCACCAGCTTGGCCATTTCATGTCCTTCCTCTGGCTGTTGCCCCCCCCCCCC